GGGGGGGGGGGGAAGAGAAAGAAAAAAAACAATAATACAATTTCAGTAAAACAAGCCCATAGGCAGAAACAGCAGAATACGAGGAACGCAGAGCCTGCATCAAGGCTCAGGTAAATAAACAAGTAGGCTTTGGATTCCTTTTCTCCTAATTAGTGAAACACCTTTATACAACAGATACAACTCAGGAGCAAAGTGCCGCAACCTCCCACGCTTTTTCAAGGCTTAGTTGGCCTCGCTGGGATTTTTGGCTCGAGTAAGACTGAATAATTTGGTCCCCTGGTTTTGTCCAATTTAGAATGAGCAATTGAGGCCAGGTCCGGATTAGCTACTGTGTGTTAGCTGACCCCCAGTCAGTTGTAACTTTCTCACAGATTAAAGTCAAACCTCTGCTTGAGCTGATTAGGGTGACACAGGAAGGGAAAGGCACGGAGGCTTATCATATACACACGTCACCTGGGAAGTACCCAAGGCCTCATAATAAGAATAGCAAAATTAAGGTAAAGGAAGAAGATGCTCAAAGGAATAAAAAAAACAAATCCTGTTCAATACTAAAAAAAGGTGGAAGTTAAGCCCTTCTAAAGCCAGTACTGATCATTAGATGTAGACCGGGTCAAATCTGAAGTTCATTTTAAAACGTCAGTTACCTAAGTCAGTTTCTCTTTTCTTCCCCCAAAAGCAACTTCTGGATTTCACCCAGTATATTTCCTACTTATTTTCATAATTAACAGATACAGTTACAAACGACATCCTTGCTGTCTTATACCACATCCATTAGCAAGCTGATGGCCATCACAAGTCTATACAGCATCAAAGATCCAACTTAAAAGCATCTGTAGGATTTTCAAAAGGCACAGGCTTTGTGCTGTCTCTCCTTGCAAAACAGTATTTAAGACCTCATCTCTCTGCAATAATGGGCATCAAGAAAAATGTTCAGATCACTCTTTACTGTTGATGACTCCTATTTAGTAGTTCAAGGAAGATGATCTGAAGTCAGCTTGTGGAAAAAGGACCTATGGATCTAATTAATCTCATTACTTTGAAAAAACTAGCAATACATACGATATTCAGAATAAAATGGCTGAATGTGTTACATAGCTCAAAGAAAGTAAGATTAATTATTTCCAAAATAAATTTAGAGATCCTAAAGTTACTAAAATAAGAACATCAACAAACCCCCACTTTTTCTTTTCAAAAAAAGAGTGAAATTCAGTCATTTAAAAAACAGTACATCCAGTTTCAAGAGGGATCTAATCTGCTGAAGATACTGATAGTGCAGCTGTGAGGTTTGGGAATGGAAGGCTGGCAGTCATTATCACCACAAAGACTTCATATACTATATGAAAAGGGACAAAGGAGATTAAAAGAAGAAAGGGAATAGAAAAGCTATAAAAGCATTGATAAATGAGAAAGCAATTTTAAAGGTGTGTTTGTGCAAGTAGGCGCATTTATTTTCATTCTTTTTAGAAATCCAGGCATGTTGTTTACTAATACTTTAATTACTAAGTACTCATCCTTCCAAGCTCTTTTAACTCCTTGTTTTCTTACTGGACCAAACACCAAGCCTGACAAACAAACTCCTTCTCTGGGCTTCAGCATGCAATCTCTAACATCAATTTGCCGTGTGTCCCACTACTTTACTATTATTGGGATGAAAATACAATTTTAGTTATGGATGGCAGTGTTATGAAGAGTGGTTTTTAATGTTGCCATGATCCTTCAGAAATACCAAGTGGTTAGTGTACTGATGATTTAGAAAGTATTCTTCCAATATCAGAGTGCATTACAGATATAAAATACAGAAATAAATAAACAGAATGGACCACTTTGGAACAACATGAAAGGAATCCTTGCACTAGAAAATTACACAGATACAAAGACTAGACACATAAATCCATATGGCCCCAAAGTTAAAAGCCATACAAAATTGATGAAATAAATCAAAGTGCCAGATGGGAAAACTCAGAAACTAAGATTTTTTGAAAGCCACTACAAATAATAAAATAGTGAATGTTATCTTCACATTGATCAGACACCAAAATCTACTGCAAACGCTACTCCAATGCTGCACACCTTTCAACTAAATGGAAAAAAAGTTGAGTATCCTATTGCTTTCCAAAACCACAAAACAAGTGAAAATAACTAGGGCAAAGATGATATAAGTGCGGGGTTAGAATATAGTGTAGCTTCCACAGCAGATATATCTATGGATTTGGGAAAGGTTAAAAAATAAACAAACTACCTTACTATAGTAATGATGTGGGAGGTAGAAGGACAAAGCAGTGTTGGAAAACACCTACACTCCCAACTAAAAAAAGAACTGACAAACAAAATTAATTAATTGACTAAGAGAACCTACTCAGCGATGTTGACGATAGCAAAAAAGTTGAGGGTATTAATGTTCCTCACTGCTAGCTGAGGATCAGGGATTGAACATTGTGCTCTGGGCCACGATGTCTGGAATTGCCCCTATATTTTACCTCCAGCCTCTTTTACAGGAGCATAAAATGCTACCAGCCTTTACCCTGAGCTGCAGCTGAGAAGGATTCTGGTTAAACAACATCATGAAAGTCAGACATTCAGTGCACAAAGACTACTGGACTGAATTTTCCTATACTGACTACCATGGAAACTACATGTTTAAATCTCCTTGTTATCTTAGAAAAATCTTAACTTTCAATTCTGAAAGACATTTGATCTGGTGACAACATAAAGCTTATGTTGGATTAAAGAAATAAAACCTTCTGCACGGCCCTTGTACTGACCACTAATTATTTTTTAAGAAAAAATCCAGGCCACTGGACTTCACAGAAAAGAAAAGAAACATCCAAAGAGAATTGAATCACTACCTCTAAAGGAAGAACTCCCTGTAAATTAGATAGCTACAACAATATAACCACATACAGCAAACACAGTTTTCTACAATAAAAATCTGTAGTTTTTCTCGGACTACCCAAGAGTGATTTATAACACACAGCATCAAAATGGGAACAGCAGATTGCTCTGTTACATAGTGCTGCTGGTACACAGAACATAAACATCATAAGCCTACTTTAGGGTATCCAAAATATACTTGCACCATTTCCGGGCATGCACCAATCTTGCAAGTAAGTTACCAGACTCGATACAATCGCCTCAGCAGTTCACTGAAGCTGCTTGTTCTCATAGAGATAAAAGTGTGCAGAAACATGAGCAAAATGGGACTTACAGACAATCATGATTAATTTCCTGGATTCAAAACACAATCTGCGTACACTTTAAGAATGTACATCAGTATTTTTCACTGACCATCACTACAGTTGATTTACACTACACATACACTATCTAAGAAAAAAGTTAGGAACCTGTAAAATTGCACTCTTACAAATAACTTTTCAAAAGCCCTGTCTTCTCACAGTCATGCCCAAATTAAGTTGCTCTGCTGGTTTATAACTGTAGCATCAACAGAAAGTAGAACTTCAGATTTTCTCAGTGTTCACGATCTTAGCAATATGTTAAGAATTACACTGATAATGCCACCTGACCAATCTGAACAACTAGAATTACTTAACAATTGTTAAAATGTATTAACTCAAGACAGTTTCATATGAAAAGCCTCACTTAATATATACTATTTTTAGGTCTGAAAATCCAAACATGTTTTTGTACTGCACAAGAAGCATCAGAATGTCTATGGCCATGGGAAATATATACTGCAGTTCCAATGGGGATGATAGTGTTTGCATATTTTTTTATTATAATAATCTGCCTATTAGTTTAGGGATATAGAAGTCAGTATTTGAAAATATATATAAATAGGAAGCTAGCTACTTAACACATTTTTTTTTCAAATGGTGTAAAATTTATTAAAATTACCATCTTCAGTGAAAAAATAAACAAACCCCCAAACCATGATGTTAATGTTGCTTTTCAGTTAATGCCTCATACATAAGTCAGTGCCTTTTTGTAAGGATAGCTTGGTCTCCTTGCTCTTTGGAAATTCTGCATGTTTCTTAATGATACAGAATCACAGTGTTAATTGCACATTGAAATATGTGACTTTCCTCCCTTCCTCCCCCTAAAATTAAATGACCTAAGGCTTTGAGCTGTATATTCATTTTTAATTAAAAGCAGCTCTATCTGCTCTATTTCTTAGGCAAAATAATACTTCAGTACTGGGATAAAATCAGGAAAAGCCATAGAAGAAGAAGAAAACATCTCAAAGTTCTGAAATGTTTATTTTAATAAATAGGTCATTTGTTAACACAAGAAAGAGCAATGCAAGAGCCTGTCATTGTCATAGATTTCATGTTTTCAGCACGCTCCCTCAAAATCAAACATTTTATCTACATGGTATTCCACAACAGAAAAAGTGGTAGACATGAAAATGTATTGTGGAGTCTTTGAAACATTTGTGTATGTGGCCCTTTCAAATGATGTAAGTGAACTGAATTAGTCTCTTAAGAAACAATCAAGCATTCCTTTCTTTCAAACAATGGTTCTCCACCAAGTCCTCTCACAGAGGCTGAAGTAAGAAAATACATGCAGCTGTTACATGATGAAGGTAATGACTGACCTTCCAGCACTAAACAAAACCATGGTAAGAAACAAAACGGAAAATTACTCTTAGGTTAGTTTTCCTGTTTCATTGCAAAGCTTCCACTTACCTGCCCTCAGCCAATAAATATTCTTAGAAATTGTAATATAGCATTCAAATTCAACAATAATGAATTTGAAAGAACGTGTCGAGTAAAGCATAGAAAGTGGAGGCACGCGAACACAGAAAATTAAATATAACCCACTGAATGTCATAACAATCAACTAAGATAAATAACATAGCTAATCATAATTACTTCGTATTCAAAACTATTTCTAAGTTCATAAACACTC